AAGAGGGGTCCATAAATGTGTTCAGATTCTTTCTAGATTCAAGAGTTTCAGAGTAAATAAAAATGCAGTTTCAAGAGATCCAAAAATCGACCGCTGACCAAACATGGAACACTATTTTCTTACTTAAGAAAGGAGTTATATTTGGCAATTTTTGTTAATTTTTGTTCCTAAGCATCATGAAATATTTTTTTTTTTCCCTCTGCAAATAAGCAAATCTATTTTTAAAGTCTCCAACTGAAATGTGCCAGCGATATAAAAGGGACACATTAAAAGCAAAAATGCAAAATGTATTGGTTATTGAAAATATAAGGAAGAACAATGAAAAATTTAAAACATGAAATGTAGGGACAACTCGATTTCAGCTGTGAAGTCATAGCATTCTAAACAGAGCTTTCAGTAAAATAGACAGGAATAATAAAATAGTAGAAATCAATCAAAGCTTTTACACGAAGCTGGTCAAGTACTGATTAAGAGCACTAGTTCTTTCAGAATTCCACAGGAATGATTTTTTGCAACTTTGACTTTCATGGCCGATGGGTATTACAGTGAAAACAAAAGAAAAGCAGTTTTCACACTTTAACATTCAAGTATGCGTGTTAAAGCGACAGCTTTGATATTTGTATCTCTGTTACCATTTTCAATAATGGAATGAGCTCACAGTACTTTTGTGATTGTCATTAAAGTAATGCAACTTAAAATATTAATGTATTTATTTTTTTTGCAATTCTGGTCTCATCATGTTACTGATGTTTTATTTGTTTTGACACCCTTACATGGATACTGATGCAGTATAAGTTTTCTAAATATTTATTAAACAAGACTAATTTTTAACAAACTGAAATGTTTGACCAACATCAACAGATCAGAACTTCAAATTTCTGTTGATGAATTCTCACATTTCGAGATAATAATGCCCTGCTTTTATGGAATATATTAACTTTTTTTAATGATATTTGTTGCATATTTAAAGTTACCAGATAACATAATGAGTACATATCATAATGAGTGGGGCTGTGATATCATAACTTTTTAAATAAGTCATTATCCATCCAGTTCACAGCTACACATCACTATTTAGCATTGGTTCATGAAACTTTTATTATGTGGTGCATGCACATTAAGACTGCTTTTTATGGTAGTGCTCTTTGTGACTTTTTTTTGTGTGAATGAAACAAATTGCTGAGCAGGCTTTTAAGAGTTCTTCATTTCAAGCTAACTATATTATTATCTTTAATTCAAGCTATCAGAAAGATACAGTAGTTTTATAGTTCATATACCACCCATTCTTGGCAAATGCTCTATTAATTCTTCTTTAATGCTTGTATCTGAAAAGACTACCCTCATTTTTTAACTTTTTCCTGTACCATACTTAAAAAGAGAAAGAAGTGCAAAAAAAGTTTCAAGTTGAATACACATTTTTTAAACTTTGGTACAATAGCAACTGTGTTACGTCTTTCTCAATCGCACACAAAGGTGATAACAAAAGATCACGCAAAAAGTAGAATTAAACATAAGAAAGTGGAAAATAGCAGTTTGTCTTCTAATATTTCTGCTTATTTTTAAATCCCCAGACATTATTATTGATGACCTTAAATGTGTTGCTAAAGAAGCCATATTAACTTAACATTCTGCTATGTATGAAATTATTTTCAAGACATCAAACTACATCTAAGTTAATTACAAAGTTATACGAACCCAAACTTTTGAATTCTGTACATACTAAAACTGAAGTACATATAAGATATTGTTATTAATTTTTAATGAAGTGCTAGATGCTTTGAAAACTGTCAATTATATAATTATAAAAACAGTTTAAATCATAATACAAAACTTCTTCCTTCAAGTTGCAATCTTTTTAAGTCCATGGGATTCAAATAAAACTCTTACTTTTTGAAAAAGTACCAGAACAAACTTCAAACATTTTATGCCACTATCGTTTGAAAAAGAAAGGTGATATATTACTATGCTGACACCACCAAGAATTTTGGAGCATTAGAAGTGAGAAAAATTTAAATTAATTTGTCTTGTCCTCTTTTAGTGATGGCTATATAACAAATAATTATACTCAGACTGTGGCAGATAAATTACCTGTATTTAATTTATATTAATTACAATATTCAAATATTTTTGTATATATATGGTCAGGACCAACCAATTAAAAGAATTCTGTGAATCTGAAGATATCAAACATGAAATAATTTTATCCCACAACAGTTCAAGAGTTTAAAATTAGCTAGCTATCTATAATACAAGGAGCTTTGCATATACCAGAGTGCCTAAAATCATACTTTCTTCTAAATGATCAATGTCCAAAGATGAAGAGCCCCTTCTGTGTTTATATGGAGATTTACCATTATGTCAAGCACATAGAATGCAGTTCTATAACTCCAACAGAGATATACATGAAATATTCTGAATAGAAAATTAATTCCCCCCTTAAAAGCAACTTTTTTTGTGATTAAATCACTTAATTTTATATATATAAATTATACAAATTTATGAATATTTAATAACCTTTGTAGATGTAATTTTTCATAGATTTTAACTCTATTCATATTGAATTTCTGTTATATGCAAATGAATTTGACTGGCATGATTTCTTATAACTTTTGTTATATGATCGATTCCACCACATGAACAGAATCGAATTTTCTCAAAAGAGGAAGCTGCCACCACTGTGGATGTTAGAAATTAAAATGTAAATAATTCTTTTCACAAACTGAAAATAAAACAGTACTGACAAAGAGCAACCATGCTTATTATGTCAAAATATGCTATAAACTTGGTGAAATGAGTGACCTCAGTGATACTGTGAATGCCTATTTATTGTTAATAATCTAATGATTTTATGATAAAATATGAAACATCTTTCAAAAAATTTTTCTCCATCCCGATATACCTGAAGATTAATATCCAACCTCATTTTTGGCAGTTCAAAGTTCCATCCCTTTTTACCCAATTTTAATTTAACAGCATATTTTTGTTTGTCATTCTGTCTGATATAGTTTCCTGCTGATTTGTATTTCAGCAAAGATGTGTTCATAATGTTTAGAAGCTTGAATATCATTTGTACATATTTTTCATCAGTGTCAGGTGTTTCAAAGGCTTAGATTGGAGCAACTCACACTGCAACAAAACCAATTTACCTTAGAACTGTTAAGTTACTATGTAAAGAATCAAAATTCAAATCCTCACCTTAAGTTCTGCAGTTTAATGGCCATGAAGCAATAAGAACACACTAAAAAAATTCCTCTTGCACATAATTCATACAAATTAGTTCTTTCTTAACCCTTTTGTATTGTCTATTTCAACCAAGCAATTGAGAAAGAGATTTATTTCTGGCCTTGACTTCAGTTAGCTTTCCATATGTTTTCATTTTAAATATTTTCTAACCTTTTCTTAAAATACACCATCAAATTAAATTTACATGAGTTTTAAAGTAGCAGGTTGGCAAGAAAGTACTTTTTTGGGGTGAAATAAAACATTTTTTTTATTCAAAAAATGCCTGTTCATCAATATTAATCTAATAAACCTTTTGCCATTTTCCTGGTAATTTTGCACTCACAGAACTTCTGGTCAACAACAACAACAAAAAAATAACTCAACTAACTGCCACTTGAGGTCATTGTTATTACTGACATTTTTACAAATTTAAAAGTTCAGTAGACTTCAAAATAAATCATAATCCAATGCTGCAAGGTGGGGGCTAAATGGGGGATGCTGCATCACTTTTCAACAAAGCTTCAATAATTTTGTATGTGTTGCTAAAGATGTGCAAGGCCTCACATAACACAATTCCTTTGTGATTTGTCTATTCTTGCCTTTTTTCTGTGATTGCTTCCACCAATTTCATAAGTTGTTGGTAGTAAATATCCAAGTTGATCGTTCGGTTGCTGGAAAGCAGCTCAAAATACATAACACCTTTGTAAACCCTCCAAATTAACATCATCTTTTTTCTGAGGCAATTTAGGTTTCAATATGGTTTTTGCTGATTCATAATACTTGGACCATGATGTTTTTCCAATTAATGTTATTGCAGATGATCCATTTTTCATCACTAGTGATAATTTGTTTAAAAAAAAGGGTCATTTGCATTATATTGGGATATGTGTATCACAAATATTGATTCGCTGTGCTACGTGAATTGCTTTCAATTCATGCAGAACCCAAATATCAAAATCCTTAAAGATTCCAAGGCATCTTAGGTGATTTTCAGTTATTGTGTTTGATACATTTAACCTTTTTGCATCTCTCACATAGCTAATGATTATGATATGGCGATTCGGATTCTATGCTATATGATGATTCGATTCAATTATAGATTTAATTTTTTCATCATCAAAAAAGGTCAAACAGAACGTTGGATATCTTCAACTGAAAAATCTCAAGAACAAATTTTTTTTTAAACCAATTCTGACACATGCAAGCAAGACCATAATCTGTACATATCTCTTGGTAAGCCTCAGCTGTATTCTTGACTTTATGAAAATAAAAATGTAAATTTTTTTTTTTTTTTTCACCCCATGTTAAAACTGACTGCAACCAATCATGGAATTTGTTTCTACAGCAACCTAAAAGTGTCAGCTGCCATATCTCAACTGAAAAAAAAAATATATACCCTTGATAGAAAAATAACAAAACAAACACAATGCTATCTGTTTGTACAAACAAAAATTACTTCCTTTCCGATCCAATATTTTTAACTTCCAGATATTTAAATACTTTACCTGACTGCAAAATTTAATTGCTCTGTATTTTTGAAATTTCTAAGACAGCCTTAATTTGGCACTCTTATTACGATTTCCATCAATTTCTGTATATTTGACTTACAAGTTCAATGTCTCCTTCACTTAAGCTCACTCACTAATAAATTTTTTGAAAAGAAATGCATATAAAAATTAATAATATGCATGCCATTTATAAAGCTGATTGGGATGATACTGTACAGTTTGTGGTTCAAAATTAATACATGAGAAGAATAAATTTGAAATTAACACATGTTTATGATTTTCATAGCCATTTAATTCATACAATAACAGTAACATAGTACATATTTAAAAAATTAAATAACTAAGCTTTTTAACTGATATAATTAAGTTACATATTAAACAATGGCCTAATAGTACAGTGAAACCTCTCAAACTGATGTCCCTAGATGGTAAATCTGAAAGTATCCACTATTTCAGAATATATAAATTACCATCTGTATAGAAAAACGCCTCTCTATATGAACACCTATTTCAGATGAAGAAAAAAAACTTTCTGAATCATGAATTACCTAGGAAGGTTTCACTGTATTCTTTTTATACAGCTGTCTGTGGTAACAATAAAGCACAATACAATCATTCATACTGAACAGTCTTCAACTGTTTCATCAATAAATATGTCTCTGTTTAATGAAATATATATGCCAGGATTTTTATACTTTCTTTCTAAATTCCAAGTTGAAAACATATTTAAACATGGCAATGGAAAAAAAGACAGTTTGTGATTCAAAATTCATATCTGAAACAGCAAAAGCACATAATAATCTAAAAAAAATAAATACATGATTTTGTCTGGACATAAGAATTATTGAGTATATTTACATAAAATAATTTGGGAGAAGTTCAGCATATAAACATACAATTTTCAATTACATGTAAATACAAAGTATTCAGAATATTTGAGAAAATCATACATTTTAATCATTGCCTATATTGCTATAAAAACACACAGTAAAAAACTAACTCTTTAAGTACATACAATAGTATTATTTGTGCTTAGCAGCAAGAGATGAGGGGAAAAAAATGAGATGGCTAGACACACATATAGCTCATATGTAAAATTTGATACAGAAATAAAAATTACATAGCAGTAATACATTTTTCTTCAATTGCTCAGCATGTTTAATCATGCTCTTAAGGTGCTCTAATCTAAAAATCAGGTGGAAGGAAAATGTCCATCAAATAAAGTTTAAATGGAATATTATGAAGAAACATCCTGTTCAAATCACAAAACAAGGCTTTGTGATAATGTACATATATATACAGATTTGATACAGCCAAACAGCTTCACCTTCTTTCCCTATAGCGGCGATCCATGCGATTAGGCATGCGAGCTGTGCGACGGAGGAAATCATCCACTGATCTTTCATACTAAAAATATGAAACAAGCAAAATTAAATTCAAATTTATATATATATATATATATTTAACAATTTATAACAAAGATACTTTCCAATCATCTAAAACCTGGACATTTGGCAGAATTACTCTGCTTTTGGTATATTTTTGATTATGTAAGCAAAACTAACCAATTTACACATGCATTTAACATGCATGTTACAGTGCACATGCATTTACACGCTTTATATTTTAACCATCATTCCACTGAACAACACATATTTTCATTTGTTTCTCTTAAAATGTCTTGTTTCTTAAATAAAAGGCATTTTTTTTTGAGTCACTTATAAACAAAACAGCACACATGAGCCATAAAGATAACCAAACTTACTTTTTTGGGGGGCGGGGGCAGTGAGTTAGTAGATTTAAGCGTAAGCTAAGTTTGAAAGTGATTTAATCACATTTTGATTAGTAATGCATTTAAACCAATAATCGTACACTTATTCCATTTTGGTATCAAGAGCTGAAGATAAAAATGAAATTCGTTGATAGAAAACTCACTAAAGCTCTTTTTGCTAATTTCATGTTTTACTATATTTACACATTTTATTAATTTTGTTTTTATTAATTTATTATTATATATTTATTTATAACATTTCTATGGGGTATTTCACTATAAGCAAAAAATAAATGCAGAATTCAGTGAGGTGGCTGCCACACTGTAATATGTAAAATAAAAGCCACACTGTAATATGTAAAATTTAGTTACATACAGAATTTCTTTTTCTGAGAAAATATGAAATATGAAGTGTATGATATAAAATGATTTCTTAGAAAATATAAAGTATGAAGTGTCAGTTGTCTAATACATAGGAATTTTAGAAAGGTATAATTAAGAGAAACTTTTGAAAATTGAGCAAGCAAGAAATTGTACCTAAGCTTTTGGGTTAGGTTATTTGAATATGGCAAAGCTACCTGCCTAAGAGGAAGAATGCCTTAGTGGAGGACTTTCTGAGGAAATATGGCTTGTATTCATGTCACACATAGGGAAAATCACAAAAACACACAGCCAGCCTGTTTGCATGGGATTATCCCGGGAAGAACTACCAGTATTCAGCACTGAGTTACCGCTGCAGCTTGGATTTTTGGGAAGCATACATTTAAGATCTTACAAAAAACAAATGTGAAGATTTAAATACTCCCACATTTCAGTACATCAGCATTTATAGCACCAATGATGAAAAATGCCATGGAAATTCTCAACAAAATGATTATCATGACTTATGTAAGAATTTAAACCATATACTGTGAATTTCTTTTGACAAAGACTATTGCTTTAACAAATTTCAGTTTAAGTACCAAAATTATGTGTGAAAGACAAAAATTAGATACAAAAACTTAGGGAAGAAGCAAAATTATTGAATTTCATAATTCAATAAATTCAGAATTTACTATAGTTCTCTTCTGGTATAACAGTACAAAATCAAAACTTTATTACAAGTTGCCACAGATTAAAACCCTTCAGTTGACATCATGTGTGAGATACTTTTCAACCTTTAACCAATTGAACAAAAATAGTTTTTTTAAATATAAATCCACCAACTGAAGGGTTAATTAATATGTTTGTTCAGGAACGTGCACTCAATTAATACACAATAATTTAATATGTTCATTATAATGTAGATTTTTTGTGGCAACAGTGATGTTTTGTTATATATTACTTTGAGCGTGATAACGCATGGAATGTTATCCTTTTGGATATGTTTAGAATGCTAAATAAAATAGTTCGTTGTTAATTAAAAAGGTTTTCTCTGCTAAATATATTACCATTCGTCTGAAGTTATTAAATAAGTCAAGAAATTGACTAATTTCAAACAATGTTGTTAACTGATAAAATTAATTTTATGATGCATAAAAATGCTTATAAATATCTTGCTGAAGTGAACTGTGGCTTAAATGCATAATATATATAAAAAACACATAACAACACTTACACACTTATCTAAAGAAGGCACGTTCGAAAGAGACTTTCTTAAATATTGATCCTATATATGTGCTTCCAGTTACAAAGTTTTTTCAGATAAAATATTTTGAAAATATCAAGAATATGCCAACAACAACAACAACACACACACACACACACACACACACACAAAAAAAAAAAAAAAACTAACATCTTATGTGGTTCCCATAGAATAGAAATTCAAATCACCAAAATACTTGCTATGTTTTAATAGGTAAAACACAAAAGTTTCTATAAGCTTATAAAGTCTCTAATCCGGACGTCCATTATCCGGAATGATCCATAATCTGGACCTCAAAGCCACAAACTTATGCATGCGCTTAAAGCCAGTAAAGCATTTACCCATGCACGCTCCCGATAGTGAAGAAAGTAACAGAGAACGTTATTGAAAATGAAAAAATTTCGATTGACAAGTTAGTTGGTATTCTCGACACAGCAATTACAGGACTTGAACAGTGGAACTTTGTAACTGAACAAGAAATTATGTCTGTTTATAGAATTAAAGAGAAAGTAATAGCACAAAAAAACGAAGCAACTTTAATTTGCTTTTTACAAATAGAAAATGTTTTGTTAAATATATATATACATATAGATTTGGTGCGGCTGATTGCAACCAAAAAGGGTGGTGCACAGCTACAGGTTACAGCAGTTCCATGTGCGAATTCTGAGGATACTAGTTTTTGAGTTATGCGAGGTACATACATATGTACTCATATACACTGTGCAAAAAAAGGTGGGACTGTTCTATATCTCTCGTTCTACTGGGCGGATTGCTGAAATTCAAATTGTGTTTTTCATGTCTCGAAAGCACGACTTAGGATATATATTAGAGATTTATACATAGGATTGTTCTAAAAAAGGTAGAAAATCAGACTTTTTCTGAAATAACATACCAATTTTTTTTCATATTTCAATTCTACGATTCAAATTACACCTAAATATTTTCTAAAATTTGGTGTGAAATTTACGGAGAAATTCACAAATTTATCATAGCACTTTTTTTTTTTTTTTTTTTTTTTTTTTTAAATTTGGAGAGTTCATTTTTTAAAAACTTCTCATGCAATTTTAACAAAACTTGGCAGTTTGGCATAATCTGAGTCCTAGAATAGAAAATTGGAAAAAAAATAGAATTTAATTTAAAAAAAAGTCTGATTTTGTATCGAAATACCTATATGAGAGCAATGCTATATATAAATCTAATACACATAATGAGTTGGGCTTTCGAGATATGAATAACGCAAGTTGAATTTCCTCAATTGGCCCAGTAGAACAGGATAATTGTCCCCCCTTTTTTTGTGCAGTGACGACATGAAAAAAACTCTCTTCTGAATCCATTTTGGGAAAAAGAGTGTCCTTTATTATGTCCGTACGTTCAGATGTCATGCAAAAACATCGCTCAAATGAATTCAAAAGTTGTAAATATTTATATATATATATATAAAGGAAAAGGGGGAAAGCTCTATATCTCCTGTTCTAATGGGCCAATTGACGAAATTCAAATTGTGTTTTACATGTCTCAAAAGCGCGACTTAGGTATACATTAGATTTATGCATAAGTTTAACATAGGTATTTTGACACAAAATGACTTTTTCTGAAATACCATATAAATTTTTTCCATATTTCGATTCAAGACTCAAATTATGCCTAGAATTAAATTTTGTAATTTTTGGTGAGAAATTTAAAAATTATCTTTGCGCATTTTTTCAGTTTTCGCCAAGAATAATTCACTTGTCGAAATTCTTAATTTATAGTAACCTACTTTCCTTTTTTTTTCATTGACGCACAAGAGGAAAAATGGTCCATTGTTCATTCTTTCAAATAATTTTAACAAAGTGCATAAACCACATTTTTGTTATCATCACTTATATTAAATATGCCAAATTTTAAAACACATCAAAATGTAAATTCCCTAATATCTTAGGAAATTTTGAACAAAAAACTCTAATATTTTTTCCAGGTATGCTTAGCAATATATATACTTTAAGAAGATTTAAAAAAAAATTATAGGTTATAACACACACGTTTTTTCGCAAAATTTATAAGAAATACATGGTTTATATTTGGATTAACCCTAAATTTCGAATTCTCAAAGAAGGAATCAAGGAAGTTGAATTTTTTTTAAAAAAAAGAGATATTAATTAATATATATCAAATTTAATTAACATTGAGGAGCTAAAATTTTGAGAGCTAAATTGTTAAAAACTACTCATGGGATTTTTAGGAAACTTTTATTTTTAGGTACTTTGACGTAATTTGAGCCACTGAATCGAAATATGGACAACAATCAACATGTCATTTCAGAAAATGTCCAATTTTGTGTCAAAATACCTAAATCAATACTATATATAAATCTAACACACATTTTAAGTCACACTTTCAAGACATGAAAAACGCAAGTTGAATGTAGTCAATTGGCCCACGAGAATGGGAGATATAGAACTGTGCCCCCCTTTTTTTGTGCAGTGTACATAACAGAGCTCCAATATATAGGCTGTTCCAAAATTATAGAGTACATTTCATATTTAAGGGGAAGGAAGTACATTTTTATTGTCTTCTTAAAAAGACAATTTAAAAACCTTTACATGATAAAAATTTTAAAAGTAAATAACTTCTATATGAGCTCCATCTGTGACATGCAAAATATCCAACCAAAATTTAATTTCATACCAAATGTTTTGCAACATTTCTGCAGGTTCAGTTCCAATCACTTCAGTGAATCATCGTTTTTGGTAATTGATTACTGGAACTGAAGCTGCATATACTCTGGGCCCCAAAAGTAAAAGCAAAGAAGTGTAATATCGAGAAATCTTGGCAGCCATGGTATTGGCCACCTGAGACCGATCCAATGATCAGAAAATGCTTTGTCCAGCTCCGTACAAAGTATGGCACTCCAGTGCGGTGGAGTAAGATCTTATTGAAAGAATATTTGAGGCTGATGATTTTCAAATTGAAGAAAAGCACAGCATTCTAGCATGTCCAGATATGCAATGCTCATCACTTTCTGTTCCATTAAGAAAAATTATCCAAAGATTTCATCTGCAGCCAATGTACACAATCATTCTCTTTTGGACTACTGTGCACTTTTTCTCTTACTGCATGTGGAGATTTGGTTCCCCAGATCTGACAGTTATGATGATCAGTATAACCAGAAACAAGAAAAGTTGCTTCATCAGAGAAGATGCCTTCGCTGATTTTGTTAACAATATGCATTGCAAAATTGAAATGTTTAGGTTTGTCGTTTGATTTCAATTCATGCAATAATTGCATATTATACGGATGATGTCCGACACATTAATGCAAAAATCTCATAACAGTCGTTCTTGGTATTTGCGTTTCTCAAAATAGTTTCCCTCACACAATCAACATCCGCAGTTGAGGTCAATGACTTAACACCACCTTTCCTACGTTCCACATTTTCTGCATCCTTAAACTGTTGGTACCAAAATTTAATAGAGTTCTTACTTAAAGGATGACATTTTGGGTATTCCAAACAAAATCATCTCTGAAGAGTTACAACAAATTTGCTTTCAAGGAACCACAAAATGCATACTGCTTTTTCCTATGGTACCCATTTGCAAACTCACACAATAAATTTTTTTATGAAATATTGCTGCTCATCTACCAGCTTATGAGGTACTTATTTAATGTTTAAAATTTTGTGTAAAACCATTTTAAACTGTTTTCTGAAGAAAACAATAAACATGTATGTACCTCATTCTTTTTAAACATGAAATGTGCTCCGTAATTTTGGACCAGTCTGTATTATGCAGTGATAAAAAAATTCATTTTGTTTATTAGATTATAAAAGAATACTTGCCACACGTTTTTAAATAACATACATAATATGTTAGACTAATGATCTCTTGACGTATATGTTAGACTAATGGATATGAACATTCTCTTAGGCAATTTCTTCTTTATTGATAATGGATATATGAGCAAATTGAAAATGATAATATTCTTCAGGTATTTAGATTTATTAGATTATGGCTATCTGCCTAAGGAGCGGAAGTCTTAACAAAAGATTTTCTATAAGAAAGAGAATCGATTTCATGTTACACACGAAGAAAACCACAAATCTTGCATGCAGTCATCCCAGTCACCAAGACATGAACTTAGGTTAAACAAACTGTCAATGTTCAGAGATCTTATCTGCTTAGTGGCTAGTGGACCCATTCTTTAACGTGTTAATAATTTGATTTAATAATAATAGTTAACTAATATGCATTAATTAATTAATTAATATGCATTAAATAATTTGATTAAACATGCATTAAAAAGTATAATTTACACATATAAAGAAAAGAACACATAGTAAATTATTTTCTTACAGCTCTTTTATCTAGGGGTCTTGGACGAGATGCTGAAAATTCTTGATGATGAACTGATCTTTCATAATAAGGAGATGGCTCCATTCCAAAAGGGGGTTGAGGAAAATTACACTAAATAAAATAAAATACTTCAGATTCAACAGACAATGATAAATATATAAATATGGACAATCAATTTCATCTTCTTTATTTTGAACATCTCAGCTGCCAACCTCATGATATGAAAAACTAGGAGTTTCCGTAAAGTTTTTATACTGTGTGATGATGACATTTTGAAGGAACTCCAAACTGACTAAAATTCATTTTATAATGGATAATTGAATGTTTTGAACTAAATTTAATTTCCTTTGGCTAAATTTCATTTTATAATTTTTTTGCACTTTTAATCTGTAAAAATCTTAAATACCGAAGAAATGCTCCTCCACCCATTTTTTAAAATCAAAGTACTTTTATACATGTTGAAAATAAAGTTAATAATTAATATAAATAATACTGTACATTAATTAAGCACAATTAGTATCATGTGATTAAACATGCTTGAATCTTCCTAACAGTTCTACGAATGTCTACAGAAAATTAAGACCAAATAAAATTTCATAAGAAAAATGCCAAAAACCGTTATGAATTTTGATAAAGTTTCATTAGTTTGAAAATTTCATTTACTGCTAGCAAACATTTTCTTTGGTAGTTTTGTTTAGTAAAGGCTGAAAATTCAAAACTGGGATACTTAAAATTCAGCTGGGAGGTCAGGATAGTTGCCAGCTATGGTTATATCGAGTATAATTTTATGCATGAAAACATTAGGGGGAAAAATCATTCAGTAAATTTATATATTACACATACACTGAATTTAAAACCACCCCCTTTTATGTACAAATTGTTAATTTAATAATAAAATCTAACAGTAATATTTTTTAATTAATGCCAACAACTGTAAAAACAGAGATCTTCTGTAAAAATAACAGTAAGTCATAGTTAATCTGGAATACTACATCCACTTTGGTTGTCTGCATTGATGACATATATTAGCTCTGTTTGGTAGTAAATGATTTAACCCAATATTCTCTGAGTCATAAATTTAATTGATCCTGGAAACTCAGTTCACTTTTGGCTCACAGACATCTTTCTTCTGTTCCCTGATATCTATCACATACGGTAAACGTAATTCAGTTCTACATCAAACCACCAGTTTTCTCTCCTCTCCTAAACCAAATCCCATCATTCTATTAAACTAAAGCTCTATTTTATTCTTTCATGTTTTGGGCATTCAAAAGTCATTCCTTCATGTCAACTCTTAATCAGGAATTCAACTATAGTTGTTTTTAATTATAATACAAAGCTTCAGGTACAGTTGCAATTGATAAAGCTTATTTACCTCATATCATTCCTCATACTTCACGTCAAGCCTAACCAATTCTCTTGTTATTTTTAAAGTTTGTAACTGCTTTATCTTTTAAATGTCACTTTCATTTAAACATACTTCAAGAAAGTATGCATCTTTACAAAAATTACACGTTTACATGTATCTCATCCTAGCAATGAAAGATTTTTTAGTTAATATGAATTCATAAAAACTAATAATAAAAAAATTAACTCAAATTAACTCAAAACAAAAATTAAATTAAATAATAATCAAATCCCATCAACACAAATGTTCATAAAGAAGGAAACAAACATGAATTCACAAAATTTGGTTATTTTTAATCGACTGCAGCAATACAAAAGTAACAGCTGGCTGCTTAAAGAAGGGATGCATTTTCTAAAGAAGAGTAGCTCATTTTAAGGATTTGAACATAGGTCAAATTCTACATTTTACCAACATTAAATGATCTCATCCACTTGATCATTGGTATATTATAAAATTTGAGATTTAGAAGTAGACACAATGAAAATCAATCTATATGTTATTTCAGAAACTATTTGATTTCACACAAACAAATGTTAACATCACTATGTTGTATAATATGCTATGCTATACAATAAGAATTAAGCTTCAGATAAGCATTTTAAAGCATTAACAATGGAGTGTGCCCAATGAAACTTTACAGCAAAATTTATGACACCTGCAGGAAACATCACCTGATGTTTAACAAGAAATAACAGTACACTGATTTGTAAACATATAAATTGGTTTGGCTCTCAGGAAAACAGCCACATTCCAAAATTAAATCAATATTTCACTTTTAGTAACTCCAAAAATTAAAAACAATGATTAATCTTTTTTCCCATTTAAATAAAATTGCAAATGGTATTTTACAGTGGATAACTTTTACTTAGTATACCAATTAACATGTTCTGTCATAAGTGCAACATAGTTCAAATTAATAATAAAAATCTTTGAAGTGATTAAAAAATGTTATATGCAGCATAAACAATATTTAAGATATGGCAGACAACACAAAGTTGTGTGTGCAGTTTCCCCACAGGTTGTAGAATTGGAGCTAATATGAAGTGTGAGATGGCAGGCTCTGACATTGCAGAGGCCCACTAGCGGCCGAGCGGTAAAGACTCTGAACACTGGTATTTTTGTCCAAGGTTCGAGTCCCGCGAACGGGCTGGCCACATGGGCGTTTTCGTGGTTTTCCCCATGTGTAATGTGTATACGAGCCAGTTTCCCTTAGAAAGTCCTTCACTAAGGCATCCCTCCCTTTAGGCAGATATCCCTCGTATGCTTTGCCATAAATGAATAATCCTAATAATTTCATTCAGTTATGGCTCCACTTAATATTACAAGAATCATAACTTTATGGCCAGTGTCAAGAGATTTTAAATTTGAAATGTGTCTGCCACCAAAGCCTCTCAATTTCAGGAAGGCGGAGGTAATAATGATCCTGTGGTATCATTTCAACTAAGCAAATCGGAGGACATAAAATACACCCAAAAAATTAAGAAGGCAAGACTTCAGTCTAGAGAGACTCTTGCTATTAGCAAGATCCTCACATAACTTACAACACTTGTTTCTATGCCTTCAATGTTTTATGAATTGTAACAGAGCTTCTCATAAAATTATATTAAATGTACTTTTGTTCTTTATGCGGTAAGTAATGCACAACCTAAACAAACACAACCAAAACCAGTTACTACAAGGAGTCATGTCATCAGTATGGTGTACCATCACGAATAGTTTCAATAACAAACATTTTACAATACAAGAACCTATAATGAGTGCAATTAAAGAAATATTAAAAAATTAACTGAAGTTAATTGAGAATTAATAAAATATAACATCTTTAAGATAGAATGAATTCAATAAAATACTCCACTGAGTTCTGAAATTACAATGCAGCATTTATTTATTTTTATTTTAGACTTTGCAGCCGAAAAGAAAGAAGTCTGAGTAAGAATTAAATAGCACTACAAACAATTTGCTTCAGAAAACAACAAATGCAACAGTTTTAATTAATTAATTAGTAATAATAATGAAAGCAATAAAGACAAATTTTTGCTTTTCTTTTCTATCTTTTGACATTTTTTAAAAGTATGTTCTGCATTTATTATAAAAATTATGAATTGCAGCCAAATAATAATGTAAAATAATATGGTACAATAAAACTTACTGGAGGGCCAAAAGGCATAGGTGGCATTGGAGCTCTTTGGTGATGATAATCTCTAATGTACTCACCATAATTCTATAAATTAGGAATTTTTATATTTAGACAAAAATTAATAAAATAAATAAATGCACACAGAAAAAAATATTCCTCATGGTTAGCAAATTCAGAATGCAAAGGGCAAAAAGAAAACAATTACCATTTAACATCAGAATATTCAAAAAATGAAAGGACTGACTGTTATACACATAACAGTTATTTTCTCATTCCCAGTTATGTGTTGATATTGTTTGTTCTAACTGCTCTGGGGCATATTTCGTTTTGGAATGGACTTGGGGGTTTTAATTTTAAGCCTTGAAAAAATTTTCTAAAAAATTATACAGATTTTTAAATGTCATCCAAGTTCATGAGGAAAAAGACCTTTGCTCCACAATGAAAAGCTGCAATTTACTGCCCCTTCCATTCTTCCCTTTATTTTTCATAACTTATAAGGCCTTTTCCTTTCTTTCCTTTGCATTCTGAGTTAGCCAACCATGACAGATGGGGGAAAAAAGTTTCTTAAATTTTCCGCTTTTTTTACATTATTTGCAGCAACATTTGTCATAAAACTTATGGTATTTTTTATCTTTTGCATTTCCCTCCCTTAGTTTCATTTAGAACAGAGCGACATAATACTACGTCTTAATTCATTTTTATAAGACAAGCTGAAAATCCTATGATGGGGCAGAAAATTGTGAATATTGGGAGAATTATTTAAAAATGTTGAAATTTATATTGAGCATTTAGAAAGTTCTGTGGTTTTCTTATGATGAAAAAAATTAAGCAGTATGAAAACATAAAATTTCACTGAATCACTTAAGCATCATTTTGTTCTATAAAATTTTGCCATCTCTCCAGCAGACTTTTTTTTTTTTTTTTTTTTTTTTTGTTTTTGTTTCACAGTCTCCAACATAGTGAACTCCAGGCAGTTTAGAGAATTCTGAAGTGACCTGAAGAGATGAAAATTCAAAGAGGTGAGGTCTGGTGAATATAAAGGCAGAGGGCAAAATATCCTACCCTCAATTACTTTTCGTCTGACACTCATTGGAATTTGGGCATTGCTATAATGGTTTTGGGCTGAACACTGTTACAATAGAAGACAACACACACCTCAATAACTAGTCAATTCCAGGTGCTATGCTTCCATATCTGCTTTTAAAGCAACCATTTGAGAACAGTATTTTACCTTATTGCCTGATTTGGTGGCAACAATTCATGATATAAAATTCCTTTGAAACCCTTTCCTTTGAAGCAACTTATTATGGGATGTAGCCTTCCTCTTAACTAAAGAAGATTTATTTGGCTTAACCCCTAAAACATTACCATTCAAATCTCATCTTCAGTAATGAACTGCTTCAAAAATAGGAGCTTTATTATTTTATTTCAGCAAAGAATCATATGCTGAAATTTGACAAGCATATTCTACTCTGTTAGAGCATGGGGTATCCATACATCATAGAGACTTACATATCCAATCTTCAAATGATCACATACTCTGTTTTTTCAGAATATTTAGTCTGTCTGGTAGTTCCTGCATTGTTAAACATGGATTTTCAGGAATAGTTTCTTTTATTACACATTTTGTTTATAGAGGATGGCCTTCAGAATGAACATCATCTTTGCAGTACGAATTTCCATCTTCAAATTCCTCAAAACACCTTCAAACTGTGCAATCAAAAACATTACTTGATTTATATGCAGCATATATTTTACAAGCCGTCTGACTAACATTTTTAGTGTTTTGAAAATAAAAGAGTATAATACGACTAAATCAAAATAAACTTTTGATTTCTCCTCTCTTAGCACTGTACTGAAAATAAATATATATGTGTGACATGAGCAGAAATGTTTACATCTACACATCAGCCTCAATCAAGGCCACTCTTTATCAGAAATAACAAAATAATTAGAAGAAAATGCCCTTTAACTTGAAAACCTGCACAATTTTCCATATGACCCAATAGACAAGAAGAGTTTTTAGAATTTGAGTGCACTGTTTCTTATGCATAAAGAACTGGTGCAACTAAAATAGTACGATATTTTATTACTACAATTTAAATGAAATAAGTAATCTCAACAAAGCAAGAAGTTGGTTAAAAAATGAAAGTTACAAAAAATGTCCTACACATCCTAATAACTGCTCACACAGCAAGTAATTTTTGAAACATCTATTCCTATTACATTTTTTTTCTGCATATTTTGTATTATTTTGATACAGAGAAAATCATTCTGATATTAAATATTGATGATAAATGCCAAGTTAATATACTTTTTAATTCATTCTTACTTTAAAGAATATTTTAGATCATTTTTAGTCAGCTTTATTATCTAGCTCTCTGATTATGCAAAAATGGCATAATATGTCAGTTAGTCTGCAGACTTAATTCTACTGTATTAAATAGAAAAATGACAAAGAAACAGTACATGAGAAGGTAATTAACAAAGGATTCGAATATATAATTCTTTTCAGCAAAGTGTTTTCATATGACTTTTAAGGTTTAAAGATTTTATACTAAAACTTTTTATACTGTTGAATTTAAAAAATAAAAGATCCCCCCCTTTTTTTTTGCTATTTAGTGTTTAACCTCCTTTTTCCATAAAACTAGTTTAAGAAATTTGATTATTTTATTATTCTCAATCTCTCATAGTAATTCTGACAGGCTTTCTTTTTTAGTGTTTAATTTGGCAGTTTGCAGCATAATTCAAAAAAATGTAAAAGGAATTTTAATGTGAATATATGATAAATTCATTCAAATACTCACATTACAGTCAACTAAAACTTGAAGTATTCTGGAGTATCGTCATTTCTAAATTATATATATATAAACAGAATACTGTTGAGCAAAACGAAAAGAAGAAACTAAATAAAAAAGAATTTAAGAATTATTCATCCTTAAAAAAGGAGGAAGGCTATGTTTAATCAATATCAATAAAATGGAAGACAACCAGATAATAAATTTCACATTACATGACTTAAATCAAACACCAACTATAAGTTTAGCTTGCTTTACTAACCCCCATTACAGTTCTAGATATTTGAATTTAATTACATATCAAGATTATTTAATCTATGAGTGTTTTGTCTACATTACTAAAGTCCTATTTGTTCATTTAATTTTGCTCCTTCTCATTTTATAATAAAATTAGAATATATAAGTTTTCCCCTTAGTTTCATGGAAAATGTGCAAAACGTCCATTAATCCTTTCTTTTTCTTTTTTGCAGACATTTGACATAAAATGTTCATTTCTGCTCTGTGTTAAAAGAAAAAATCCATACATTAGTTTTATTTTTATTATTTATTTATTTTATTTTATTTATTTTTTTTTTTTTTTGTAATATGACACAGTAAACATTCCTAGGCGAAATCTGGAAAACTAGTGAAGCAATCACAATATTGCAAGTTAGAAATATTAGAGGCTAAAATTACAGATTGAATGATTTAAAAGGAATGTTATGAAGTTTAAATTACTAGGCATACTTATAAGCCTGTAACATTTACTCATTTTGTATTACTGAATGAACTGAATAAAGAAATCATACATTTTCAAATAATAAATACTGCATTAAAAATTTTATTTAGGCCATTTACTATTAACTGACACAAGAATACGTAGCATTTCTTTGAATAAATGCACAAAAAATGCTGATAATTTCTTCCTTTATAATTTATATTTACTCACAAAACTACTGTTCATTTTGTGTCAAATACTTCAAATTATGGCAATATTTCCATACATAAAAATTTTAGAGATCTAGAGTATAAACAAACATTTCAACAAGAAACTACAATAAAATTTTTAATCGTGTAAAAAAAAAAAAAAAAAGGATCAATGCAATATTTAAAACACAGTTATGAAAACAATTATAAGTGCAATTGTACTGTAAAGGCATTTACATAATAGAACTAATCCTGTCAGAAACTCCATGTTTTTATAAACTAAACCAAAAAGCTCCAATTTCTGTCAGAAAAACATGATACTATTTCTCAGATATACTATTTAGTTGCCAAAACTGAAAAATTTCTATTCACATCTTACTTCCCAATTTTTTGCTTTCTTAAAGCAATAAAATAAAAACAGTATTAATGGTTTTAAAATAATTAAATTAATATAATTATCGTTACTGTAAAAACCATTAAAGGAAGAAAATGTGAGATAGATAGAAGTCTATTGAGCAAGATTCCTTACATTAACCAAAATACTGAAGATGGATACAATAAACATAACAACATGTGAAGTGGCTACAGTTAAGAGGCTGATAATACATGGTTTCCCAAGATTTTGTTTACATTCTTTTCACAATTTAAAAAGAAATATAAGAGAGACTATTTTATATTACATTAAATACCCTAGTTATCTAAAATAATTTTTTAAAATATTCATAAATATTAATTTATTTTTAAATGAAAAAAAATCAGTTCTTAGCTAAATTTAATTGAGTCCGACAACTGAACCAAAGACTGCATTTTAATCCTTTAAAAATTCTCCCCGCCCTACACACATAAGCATATTTCATTATTCATTCATGTGAAGATTTAACCTATTAAAAACTTTAAAGCAAAAAATATTTTGAAGAAAAGCTCAGAAAATAATCCATTTTATGATATTTTAAATGAGAAATAGGAACCAGAAATTTATGAGAACAAAAACTAATTTTTACTTCCCTTTGCACCAAAATATACTGGATGCTGTCTAATATCAAATAATACTTAAAAATACCTAGGAAAAGCTATTTACATCATGCAACATTAAAAAAAAAAAAAAAAAAAAAAAAAACAGATAATTTGACCAAATAAGACTTTCAAGATATGAATGAAAAAGGTCGCCTGGAAATATATTTTCTAATCCGATAATTTAATGTAGATTTAAAAAAAGGAAAGAAAAAGCAATGTATTTTTAATTCTTCAAAGACAAAAAAGGTATTAAAAAGCAAATTGTTAGGACTGTTTCTAGCAGTAACAAAATCTAGTTCAATATAAATAAAGATTAGAAACATAGAGCACAAAGATGCATGAATTTTATGTACATTCAATACCATA